CATGTGTTTGAAGGGTTCTCTTTATGCCAAGGACGGTGTTCCAGAGGATCTGAAGTTGGGGGTGTGGGTGGCATCTCGCTCTCTCCCTCTCTCTCTCCATTGGTTTGTTGGAGAAAAGGACAAAAATGTCTCTATAGAGAAAGGCTCACCCGGCTCACCTAAAATGAAAAGATGAAAGGGGAGAATGGGTGGACTCCATTGTGGCATTTGTGGTGTCTTTCCACATCTTTCGGGAGGAGACTCTCTCAAATATTCATATAATATTGCCTTTTCTATAGCTCCCAACGAGGGTGGCGGCTTGATTCCTCTTTGGCCCTGTGTCTTGGCAAGAATTCTATGATTCTGGAACGAGGGTGGTCCATGTGCGCGTCGCACAAACACAAGAAGATGGAACAATGTGGAAAACATGAGTCAGTTGGTCCAATATGGGATGGAAGTTGCACAGCCTTTCGGCATAGGGGTGAGTTAGGACACCATTTGTTGGCTTTCCGAGATATAGTCTCTACCCTCACCCGGAGCCACTGTCGACCCTCAACCCTCCTGCCCAGAACTCTTCGTCCATTTCAATGTGGCGGCGACGACGATGGTGGCTTTTTGGAATAGCTCGAAGTCGACCATCGGAAGGGAAATGGAAGGAGCCACAGAGAGAGAGTTTAAAATAATGACGACAGTCATAAGTTTATCCTCGAAGTGATGTTAAAATATTTCAACCCTTTTTGTTTCCAATTTCTCAAGCTCTCCTCACTACTCCAGCTCCCCCCACTTCACTCATGGACATTTTTTCGTCCCTTCTCCCAGCCCTGCTTCGCCAGAAGACCCAAATTGGTGAGTTAAGGGTTGCGAAAGCGGGCAAACGACATTCTTTGCATTCACATCTCATTCTGTCGCTGTATTCTCTCCTCTTCCTCATCCACGACAGGGCGAGTGAGTTTTGAATGGACACGATCCCCTTTTTCTCAAATTATACGCGCACAGGGTTGACTATAGTCTTCCATCCCTCCCGACACTCCTCGACGCTTTCAACCCTTGCTCGTGTAATTATTTGACACATACTCGCCATTAGGGCCCAAAGAATAACAACAGCATTCTCCGTCTCTGGAATCTCATGCATTTTGCTTGAAAAGGGATCAACATTGAGAGACATTTTCAAAGAATTACGGCCGAATTTCAAATTTCTCTCTCATTTTGGCGGCTCAAGAAAATAAGTAGGAAATGATTAAAAGTTTGAAGAATATATTGAAGAAATTTTGAATAGAAACATGTAGTTTAGAGTCAAAATATTTTTTAAATCAAATATTGATTCTAAGACAAGTCTTTCATCATTATCTGGAGGAATAATAGCGGTTTTCTGGATTGAGGAGGTTGAGAAGCACCTCTAGGAAAGAAAACCAATTGTCTGCTGCACGTTCGTTCACAGCGGAAAGCCAATGGGAGGACAAGGATGTGTGAATGGAGAAATGCGGACAATGGACAACCACTTATCAAGAGTGCCTTCCGGAAGTGACGTGGCAGAGAAAAAGCGGGAGGGTGAGCGGGTGAGACAAAGAAGTGAAACCTTTATTTGGAAATTTGTGTATGTCACATCCACACAATAGTTTTGGTGTGCCTAAAGGGTGCTAAAACAGCAGCCCTTCAAGATTTAATGATAAATGTGGCTGTGGTGGGTCCGTTCGTAAAACCATCCACCCAATGTGTGCCCTCCCAGACTTTCCCGAACGGGAGAGAATGAGAGAGAGAGTGAGAGAAGGAGAAAAAGCTACACGCCATACATGTACGTTGAGGTTTTCACCACACAAAATGCGAGAAGAGAAGGCCCTCTTTTTGGGGTTCAACGGTGAAAGATCGCGCTTGGCTGTTGTTGAGATTTCATTAACGAGGACCAGAGTCCTTATATTTTCCGTCCTCACCCACCCCTGGCTCGCCCAACATGTGTGTGTACACATTTTCCCGAATTTCAAGGCGATAACTAATGACTTTGGAAAACATTTTCAACATAACCCCATCATCATCCTCAATCCATTTCTCCACTTTCTTCCCTAGGATCATCTCTGCTCCCTCCGCCCGGCGGTGCGGGGGCTGAAGAGGCAAGTCACACAAATTACTGGCATGTGAAGAAGGACCTTCGGATGTGTTGAGGGTTTGGAAAATGAGAAGCCTGAGTTCAACCGCGTCGACCGTCTCTCTTCGCAAAATTGTGAACTTTGGGCTTGGAGGAAATCTTAGGAATCACGTTCTCCATTCTTTATCCGAGGGCGGGTCTTGTGGGTACGAAAGCTCTCTTCTTGGGGCTTAAGAAATCACAGGGATAGAACGTCAACAATATGACGCTCAAATTATGTATGGTCAAGTTTTTGCTGAGCTCTCAGGGACTTCATTAGCCATGAGAGAAGACAAAACTTCTAATGGCAGAGAAATTGTTGTTGATATTCAGCTTAGAATATAGGTATTTTGTAAAAAATTTTACCTTGTAGAAACAGAAATGAAATGAAATTATGCAGAAAGAAACGGGTTTTTCGCAGCGTTCTCTCCGAGAAAGTCTCTCAAGCCCAATGCATACAAATAAATCCAGTAGAGTAATTGAATAAGCCGCACAGTTGCAAGAGGTTACATCGCCACCTCTTTTCACGTGCGCTCCGAGGACACAAATATTTGGCCGGCGTGACGACAAACTGGTTACGCGATGGGAAAATCATTTATCACCGTACAGTGGCCCTGGTCAAACTGGACACACGATTCTGGATGTCTTGGGTGAAAATATTTGCTCCGAGCTTGGTCTCTTTCGCGGGATTGAAGGTTAAAAGAGCACGAATTAGTCGAGTCCTCGTTGCATTGATTTATTGAGTGAGGAAAAGTAATGGGGTTGGAAAGAAATCCGGCGTCTTCCCGGCGGAACCCTTCGCGGCTCTGGCGGCTCTCCTTTTGGAAAATATATCCTTACTTTCGCATTTTGATTATGTGTGTGGTTTCGTATGCGTGTAATTACCAAATCCATCATGAGACGATTGCCACCCCCTCACAGACCAGAGAGGCCACCCACTCACGGATCCGTCTCGATGGGTTGAACACACATCAGCAGAACGGCGGATGGAATAGGTTGGAGGTGGATAACATATGGCGTCACTTAACTGTCATAAATCAAGTCGTCCTTTTCAACACTAATTACTGGAACATGGCAAAGAATAATTTGACTCGACTCGACACATTACGTGCGCCACCCACTAAACTATTCATTCCAGGATGTTGCCGAAATTTGGGTCCCCTCACAAAACACACACACACACACACACACAAAGCTCACCCAAAGCACGTTGTAAAGTTTTGCTCGAGAAAGCCAAAAAGTCCCTCTCATTCTCTCCAGATCTTCGCTTCACTTTTGCTTTCCATTCTCTGGAATCATGATGAAAACAGGACTTTTTCTGAAACAGCTTACAAATTTCAAAAGTAAAAATTACTTATGCTGAAGTTCATTGACATTCTATTGATCTTAATGTGCGGTTAAGTGAGAGAACTTTGTCTAAATGGTATTTCAAAACAATTTTGTGAATGACAAATATTTGATGAGCAGAATGTTGCTATTCCCTTTGTCAAATAGTTATCGAATTTATATACGTTTGACGGCATCTTCAAGTTATTACCTATCGAATCATAAGCTATTTGTTGTATTCAAAGTATATTGTTTATGGCATTTATTACATGTGTGGATGAAAAAGCCTAATTTCCCAATATATAACTGCCGACAAACTGGGGAAAAATATCAGAGAATTGCAATTTGGAGCACAAAAGCGAGATTTAAACCACAAAAAGGAGAATAACGGCGGATAAAATTCATATAATCTGATTACACGTCAAATCACCGCATGAAACTCCGCACATTCACATTCGCCAACCTTGTGGTGGTTGATGATGATGCAAAAAGACGCATCCTCGGGGAAAATTGAGATTCTATTTGAGAATATTGCATTCTATTGCGTTCTTAGAAGTGCTCCGTATGAAGAATGAGGAAAATTTTGTGGAAAGATGAGTTTTATCACTGGCTGAGTTTCCAGCCAAAAATTCCACATTTTTAATAACACGAGAGGAAGTTTCTTTGTGTCGTATTCGTTGTTTTTGAACACTGTAAAGACGGGATTATATCGAAAGAATAAAGAAAGGGGGTAACTTTATGTCGTGTATGTTGAGTTGTTGGTGAAAACGTTCGGTTTTACTCTAGAAAATGCAAATAACTAAATGAGAAATTGTGCCTTTTCCACAGATTGTGTCGAAAACTGATCATCTAGCGAAAAGAGGCAGAGTAAAATTCACAAAGGGCAATATATTCCTCAATAATTCGCCCCTAGTCGTGGACAAAGGCGAAAGATAAAATTGAGTGAAGGGAGTGAGAGAAAGGGGGTGAAAAAGTGCAATTTGAACCCCTTGAAAAGTGCTGTGGAAGCAATTTTAGAGGTTGAAAAGGAGACACTGGGCGAAATTGACGATGCATCCCACTCGCCTGCTCGCTCGGTCTTCCCACACAGTCACACAGGCGTCCCTTTTGTGACTCGCACTGACCAATGGCAGCCGACCGAAGAGCGCTCGAGGGTGGCTGGATTGGACAAAAGCTCCGGGAAAATTGCCTCGTGCCCACGACCGTCGGGCAGTCCTTTTGTGAATGGTAAAAAGGGGAGATTCTATCGGACACTCTTGACGCCTGTGAAGCATTTCCACATCAAAGCGTCTGCGATCTTGGATGAAATCAGTTTAAATATGTATGTTTCTCCTTTTCCTTAGAAATCATTGTCAATATAAAGTGTTTTAGTGGTTTCAGTTAAAATGCACGATGTGTGCACAATTTGTCTGATGTGCAATTTAAACGTGAAGTTTTCGCAATCAAGTAATTAAGGCAATTAAGGCGACAGGTCGTAACAGTAATTATACTTAACTTTTATTGGTGCAGGACACAATTCAATCATTTAACTTCTTATGAGCCATTTCTATATAGTTGTTGGTCAATTGCGTGATTAATTCTCCAGTCGATTTCTATTGATTTATCTGTAAAATGAGAAAAAGGCAAGGAAGTTTGCAACACCTGGAAATTGAAATCCTCCAACCACTACTCATTTGCCTACCTGCGGGCGAATTGATGGCGAATCGTCGTTCATTGTGGCTAAAGGAGAGTCTTTTGGAGGGGAAATAAAATATTCGTGTATTTTTCACTGTTTTCTCTGTATATTTTTTAAAATGAAACAATCTCCTTTTTCAAGATCTGCATCTCACGTGATTTCTTTTACGTTTCACCGATTACATTTATACATTTTTTGCGTTGATTCTTTTTGCTTCTTCATGAATTCGTATTTGAAAACATTCAATAAGTTACATTTAATAGATTTTATCTTGCTCTATTTTCACTGTGTTTTTTTCCATTACTCATCATCTTAAATACGTCCTTATTAAAGATAGTAATTCAATTTGGATCTATTTATAATATATATTTTATATATAAATAATTTAAAAGTGGATCTTAAATATACTTTTCTATAAGGTCTAGATTTTCATTAATGTTGGTTTCATTTCTCTCTTTTCTGCTTTTTTACTTTTTTTTCCTTGTGTGTGTGTGTGTTTTTGTAATTGCAAAGAAACTCTGAATATCTTTTTCTTCTCAGTTTCTTCCTTCTATTAATTAGTTGTGGGATTTTTTATTGATAAAAGTTCAATGAGGTTTTGTTGAATGATTTCATATGATGGGAGGGAGAGAATGTGACTAATTGACAAAGAATATAAACGTCGACCAATTTATTAATTACAAAAAACATGCAAAAAATTAATATGTCTTTTTTTCGTTTGTGTATTGTGATTTTGTTATTATTTAATTTTCTCTTATTACTTCTCTATTTTTTATTAATGTCAAATACCCTGTGTTCAAATGTAGTTTTCTTATTTCTTTTCTTTCTTCATCTCATTATCTATTTCTCTGTTTATTTCTATTTAAACTACTATTAATTCTGAGTTTCAATTCGTCTGACTATAAATGACAATCTTTCACATCTTTTTACTTGAGTTGCGTTCTTCCTTAAAAAAATGTGCTACAAATACGATGATTTTTTTACATCTTACGTGACGATCTAAAAAATAAATCACCCAGAGAATGAATTGAGGAAAAGAAAGAAAAGTTATATCAAGTTAATTCTTTTCGTGTGTTATATTTCTGAAATTATTTTCAGTTTTAAGATATTTCAAAAGGACATTGAGACATTTTCGATACACTTTTTCCTCATTACTCTATTATGAATTTTCTTTAGAAATTTTTTTCTATAATTGCATTGTGAACATTTACAAATGTTTTATCAAGATTCATTTCTTTTTTGTATTATACTTTCATTGTTACAATTAATAGGAATATTTGTTTTTTTTTCTTATATCTTCTTGAGTGGTTCATTCAAGAAGTTCATCCAGTAATACTTTTTCCTTCATCTCGTTCTCACTGAAATACAATTATGTGGATTTTTCTTCTTTCAAATATTCAATTTTTGTACATTCATATTATTTTCTTTCACTATTCTATTATCCATTACTCTTCTTACAGTAAATTTAGTGATAATTCATTTATTTATAACATACTTTATTAATTACTTGTAGATCCTCCATAATTTTCTCTTTCACTTTATCATCAAAAATGCGAGTTTTCAATTTAGTTTCAATTTCTTTGTGTTTTTAAGGTAATTGTTATAATGCGACTAAAATTCTAAATATGATTTTCACCAATACTTTCCAATATCCACAAACAAGTGGCAGTTTTCTTCCCCTACTAATGTTCGAAGATTTTTAGTGGCTTCTTCTTGGATATGGTCCATTGTCGTATTCAAAATTCAACTTAATGCATCAATAAAAATCATTTCGAAAGAAAACTCAAGTTATAAAAATGAGGAAAACAGAAAATGTGTTAATGGCCAAAAAATACACAATTTCAGAAATAAAAGACACAATTATTAAGCTAATCATTAGGGATTTTTAGTTTCTTAAAGGAAAGAAAAGAGAGGAATGTGTTCTTATCCTGTTCCTCATCAATTCTTTAATCTCAATACTCAAGGATTCATTCAACGATTTTCGCGGACATAAAAGTAGATCAAATTCCTCCCCAACAGAGATTTTTTGTGCATTTTTTGTGGAAGAAAAAAAAATCTCTGGTGAGAATTCACGCACGAATTTAATCTATAAATACAAATAACAAATTTCGTCACAGAAATCCATTCATAAAAATTAATTGGTTTACAAAGTAAATGTCTGGCAAATTCCCTCGCAAAAAATATTAGGTTTCTTGTGAGGGAGAAAAGATCAACAAGGAATTTTTATGATAATTCATCAGTCTTGAATTCGGAAAAAAGTAGATCAATTTGGAGATTTTTTTTTCTCTTTTACGTTGTGAATTAAAGGGTTTATTTACAAAATCATTGGGAATCTGGTTCGCAACAGTCGCTTGCAGGAGAATTGAAACACGTGGTGCAATTATTTGGTGTAGTCTAATGTTTTTTTTTGTATACTTTACGGGGTTTATCCGATCGATCGCCTTGGTTGGATCTCCTGCAATCGATTGCATGCGATTTACGACCTCATAAGATTAAATAAGACACGTTACAAATAATAAAACAGACAAGAAGGTTATACAAAAAAAAATACTCTAAGGATCCTACTGATACTGCCTGTCTCCTCTCTTCTCGCGCGCCTGGACTTTCTCCTCTGTCTCAGCACTTTGAACGCTATCAACTTAGAAAACAACAGGGATCGCATCGGCTTTGGTGTGAGTGATGGGTGTTCATGTGTGCCGCCGCGGCGACACCCGGCTGGCCGGCGGTTAGGTGGAGCGTGACTAGAAGATGCGCGACATGAGCCTGGCCGGCGGCAGCTGATACGCGGCAGCGGCGGCCCAGGACGGCGGGAAGAGTCATGCGGCCTCCGTCTTAGGCATAGACATGCTACCCTCATCATCGGCGCCTATCATGGGCATGCCGGCCGGCAGGGGCAGGTGGCCGCCCGGCGGCGCTGCCAAGCTCGCCTGCTGCTTTCCCTGGTTCACCACGCACTTGCGCATGTGCTTCTCGAGCGTCGACGGCACGCTGAACGGCATATCACAGAATCGACAGCGGTACACATCCTTGCCCATGCGTCCGTGCGTCTTCATATGACGCGTCAGCTTGGAGCTCTGGGCGCACGCGTATGAGCACAATTCGCATTTGTACGGCTTCTCGCCGGTGTGACTGCGTCTGTGAACCGTGAGATTGCTGCAGTTCTTGAACACCTTTCCGCAGAACTCGCAAGTGTCGTTGCGCTTCTGGTCCTTCTTCATCAGCGGATTCTGCAGTAGGCCCGCCGCGGCGCCCGGCACTCCGCCCACTCCCTTGGATTTGAGGTCCTCGAAGAGTGAGTTGCCGCGGTGCAATCCAGGCAGACCCCACCAGGCGCTGTCTGGTCCTGGGGCGCCCTCCAGTTTGATCCTCTTGCTGGCCTCGAAGGGGTTCTCGAAGGGATTGAACAGAGGTACCTGAGATTGCTGCTGCGACTGCTGCTGGAGCATGTTCTTGGTGAACTCTTCACGCAGTCGCAGCGCTGCCACGGGCAGACCATTCAGTTTATCCTGCAGTCCCGGAATAGCGCCGGCGCTGTTGTTGTTGTCGCGATCCTTGCTCGTGAGATGGAGCTTGAGGGCATTGCCTGACTCCTGCAGAGCCTGCTTGTATGCCTCCGAGTACTGAGCAATGTTGGACAGTCCGAACTTATCCATGAGCTCACCCACCAGGCTCGACGCACTGCCCTGGCTCATAAGCTTCTGCGTCTCCAAGACGATCTTGGAGTTGGGAACACTCAAGTCTTCAGCTTCGTCCTCAAATTCACCCTCGTCATCAAGATCCTCCTCATCATCGTCATCCTTGAGCAGTTCATCCTCCTCGTCGAGTTCGTCATTGCTCTCGTCCTCGCCATCGAGCGTTTCCACGCTGCCCGTGTTGCTCTTTTGGTCATCCGGTGTGCGATGCACTTTCATGTGGCGCTTCAGTTTGCTCGACTGGAGGCACGTGAAGTCGCAGCTCGTGCACTTGAGCGCTTTGTCTCCGGTGTGCGTGCGACGGTGCACAATGAGGTTGCTCTGGAAACGGAACTTCTTGCCACAGAAGTCACACGCATGAACCCCAGCGTCTGGAAGTGTGGTGGGTGGTGTTGATGCTGACCGCGGCGTGGCTATTTCATGGCCGCTCTCGCCGCTCATGCCCTTAGTGTCTGGTGGTGTGAGACTGTGTGGCCGCGAATTGGTGTTCGTCAGCGGCGTTGGGGGGAGCTGTGACGGCGAGGGACTCGCGAAGGGCGGCGATTGCTTGCGCGGACTCGGCGAGCTCGAGTTAGCCGCACCTCCACCAGCTCCCGGACTCGTAGTTCCGGCAAGCTGCCGCAATCGCTGCGAGTAAAAATCCATTTGAGGCTCATGGGCGCCCATCCCGGCGCTGCCTGGTGTCACTGAGCCCGATGGCATGGATCCGCGCGCCCCAGAACTGGGCGGCCGCGTGTCCGCCTGCGCCGCCGAGGGTGACGGGAAGGTGGCGGCGTTGTGTGGCGTAGCGAGGCTATTGGCAGCGGCCACGGCTGCCGCGGCCAGGTTGATGCCGTGGTGGCGGAATTGCTCGCTCACGAGCTGCTCCATGCGGAAGTGGTGGTCAGGGTGGGGACGCGAGAAGAGCGGCGTCACCGGCGGCACCACAGGGCCCTGCGACAGCGGCGGCAGTGGCATCCGCAGCAGTCCGAACGGATTGCCATGCATGTCTGGCGGCGGCAGGAGCGGGTGGTGTCGCAGACCCGGCGGCGGGAGGCTCGAGCCCACTTGTGTGGTGGCGGTGGGTTGTGGCAGGCTGACCGACTGGCTCGGCTGGGTGCTGCTGCCCGATGAGCTGGCAGAGGAGCTCGTGGAGCTGCCGCTGAGATCCTTCATGCTCTTCGTTGTGCCCAAGAGGTTGAGTGGATTGAGGGAGGAAGAGGATGTGGAGGCCGCCGGCGAAGAGGCGGACATGAGCAAGGATGAAGGCGAGGATTCAACGTAAATCTTCACGCCATGCGAATGTTGGACGTGCTGCACGAGGCGCCATGCGGAATGCAGTCGCGTTTTGCAAGTCGAACACACGTAATTGCTGGGCTCTGGAAGACAGAAAGAAGGGAAACTACCTTAAGAAAATTACCTTTAGAAGAAATCTACATTTCTCAATATGCTTTGACTGAATTTAAGAATACCTATACATATATTAAGTATAAAATGATTATGAATTCACGTGGCAAGAGCTTTCAACATACGTTGATTACATCACTACTTGGTATCTCCCATTCTCCAATTGTCCCTCCTCTTTGGAGTCACTTCAGGTATTGTCCAATGAATTCTTTTGTCTTTGGGAGGCAAAAACCGTGAAAGAGATGACTTTACTTCTTCTGGCCACGAAGAGAAATGCCATGGGAGCATATCGTTTCCCACCAAACTCTAGCGTGATTTATGAATGGCTGAAAACCTCAAAGTCCATCAGAAGAAAGGTGTCCCAAAGAAGAAGAAAAAAAAATCCCACGGAATTGAGAACAGTTTTCTCCTTTTCAGCGAAATGAAGAACTTATTCGTCTCTTCAATTAGGCTAAAATGTGTGAAAATATTCGCAAGCTGGCGAAGCTGAGGAGGAATATTGCGTTTTTGGCCATTGAGGGCGCCTTTAAAGTGATATTTACTTGGGCATTTCAGTCACATATTGGACACCCATTAACACCCTCGTATGTTTGTCATTTGGCGGTGTAAAATTTTCCAATATCTCCCTTGTTGTACATTTTTATTGGCGCTCGCATTGGCCAGAGAGCTTAGGGAAATTTCCCTGGCAGATCCTCCGTGTCATCAAATATCGGAGGGTTGCGTGGGGTGGTAGTTCTCGACTTTAAATTTGCCCATGACGATGCGCACAGCTGGCCACATACGCGTCCCAGAGATGGTAAGGAGAGACCATAGAGCCAATATGGGGAGCTGGAGGGAAATTTATCTTTTTTCGCCATCCCCAAAAAATATTGAAGCTACTTCGGGCCAAAATTGAAAGTCCGAATTCGTCTGGCACAATTCACTTTTTTTTCTTGTCTTCACACTCTGTGTCTCGCTGGAAAAAGGACTCCACCGTGGATGGTTGGGAGAAGGCATTTGGAGACGATGATGGAAGGAAACCATCTGCTACCAATAGAGAGAAGAAGAAAAAAAGGAGCGTGTGGGACAGAGAGGAGACCACATTAGGATGCCTTTCACTCCTTTCAACCACGGGATTTCATTTTTGAGCCCGTGTCATTTGTATTCAAGGCAAAGTTCTCCACCACGTGGTCACACACTCTCCCGGTCGAAGAATTCAAAGGCAGAACCCTTGAGGAAATTCTCGGTCTCTGCCACTGACTGGGGATGAGTTTCTCAGGATATATGGCGAGATCTATCAAAATATATGATACAATCTCGAAATTGCTCGCAAAAATCATCAATAAAATTGCGAAAATGACAAGGAAAATTATGTTTAATTTCATTGAATTTCAAATAATTAGCAGAGAAGCACACAAACCCCTCGATAACCAACGAGATTAATAGAGATATTGACAAATTGTAAGCAATTGTGATGTGGGAAAATTGACCCTCTGGTCTCTTTGAGCAGAAGGGTTGTAAAAAACGACTGCGCCTCAGAAAAAATGAAGTGCTCGTAGTGGAGAATTCACTGAAACATGGTCAACCCCTGTAGCTGCGCCGGTGATTATCCACGTGGCCAGTTGCATAACGTGTAACAAAGACGACAGGAATTAAGAGAGGATTCTCCTCAACCCTTGCATCATCCAGAGGGGTGTCTTGTCAAGGGTTGAAGAGGCCACGGCAAGGCCCAGAGGGAGATGGGCCGGCAAAAAAGACCCAAGGAGAGTGCGTAACATGTCCAAAATCTTCACATAACGTACGCGCGCGTGTTGGGAAGCGCGCGATGTTTGGCTGAAAAAAAGGGACGAGCATTGAAATGAGGATGATGCCCGCTGCATAATTCACTTTCTAAAACTGGCTTCCTCAGCGGCAAAGGAGTCAAGATAAGTTATAAGGAGGAGAGGTGATGAGAAAAAAAACTTGTGTGGTGATTGTTTAACGAAGGGAATTTAACTCTCTCTCTCCCTTTTGGGGTTGTTAAATGGTTTGATGATGAAAACGGAAACGCGACAGTCACGCGTCTGGCATAATAATTAACCTCCTCTCCCCGTCTTATTCTCCTGCTCTTCCGCGGGATCTCATCGTGTATGGATTCTCCCGAACGAAAGGAGTGACAACAGAATGACAAATTCCTCAGGATAGCGATTGGAGAAATTATGTTATTTAAATATTGTCAAAAACCCTTCAATATCTCCTCCTCTTCTGAGTATAATCACACAATTTATTTATTTATTTCCACCCCCTTGGTTGAATTCAATATGTCAGCGTGTCACAACCAACCTGTTTTATTTCAACCTCCCCTGAAATGTTCCACCCCATCCCCGTGTGCTCTGCACAATTTGAAGCCACTCTGTGATTGACATAGAGAAACTGATATTTCTCAAATATTAATATTATGACGAAGGAATGAATTGTTCTCCATCTTCGCTTGGCCACATCTCACAAACTCGTGTGTCCCTCGCCATGCGACGCGACGTCTTTGTTTGGAGGAATATTCATGTGACGACTTTTCACGTTTTTTTTTCCTTTTCCCTACAACTCTGCCCACTCCATCCGCCTCATTTCGCCTTATTTTGCATACAAGCTGAGACCGCGAGGGTGAAGAGCAAGTCCATGAAATGGACATGAAATTCAATCTCTCAGGGTGGTTTTTGCCCTCATCCCACAGCCACCACTCAATTACTCAACTGCGCTTGCTATCCATTAGCATTTCTCAGAAAGAGTCACACATTTTTCTCCACAGGAAGATTCCCTCAAAACGGCGAGCCTTTTCACCTCATAAGTGATTTTCTCAGTATGAATCACGATTATCGCGAGTGTCTTGCGGTGAGCATTAAGAATATTTTCCACTTAGGAGCGCGGCGGTGATGTGAAGGGCAAAAAAGCAAAAGTAATTGAATTCTCTTTGGGGAAGTTTTTCCGTCTCTCTAAATGAATGAAAATTGTCGGGAAAGTTTTGCGCGCGCGAAGGAAGTAAATGTTCTCTCGGCTGGCGAGATGAGGAAAAATCAATTGGAAAGTTGAGAGGGAAAGTTGCAGAATAAACTTTAAAGTTTCAGGCAATTGTAAATATTATTTAAAAAATTTTCGTGAGAAATGCGTTTAGATAAGAAAAGGCATTTAGTGACATATTAGAGGTATTTTGACTTCAAATTCAATTTGACAATATTTTCATTGTGGTGTAAAAATGGATTTACTTTGTTTACTCGATACCTATATGGTGAGTTTTCATACAATAAGGATATTCATAACTACGCCTTCGTATTTCAAAAGGAATCTCGATGGTATCGCATGAAAAACCCTTTCGGGACATCTTCCCGCACCCGAGGTCCCATCGGAAGAGGCAATAAAAAGCGATTCAAGAAAACAATTTCGACGGAAATTCGACCATAATTTCGTGAATTGGTCACAGATAGAGGATATCCGGAAATAAATGTCTGCATGACACTGTGGCTTGATTTGGAGTGGATTGGCCGGGGTGGCTTTTATGTGATGTCGCTGACAACTGGCACTCTGATCCCCGGAAGGGTCGAGCCATAAGTAGCATGGACAATGTGCTTTATTGGGATAATAGCTCTATGGGCATTCATATGTTCGGGGCCACCCTCTCGCCATCAAGAGTTTTGGGGTGGTTGGCAACAGGGTGATTGATGAGGAATTTTCAGGGAAATTGTGGGCGCTGGGAGAGTGAAAATCACCTCCTCGAGTCAACTGTGATTCCACAGTAAACTAACCCCCAAATATTTCTCTCACCCTTCGGGCGAATTTTCATATCTGCCCTTCTTCCACACTAGAGGGTGATTTTTATTGTTGCTCGAGGAATTATTTGTGGTTTAACATGCAATTCTTCTTCTTTTTTACGGGCTTCGAAAAATTATATGGAAATTGTCACCCTGTTTTCTAAGCCTAGACGAAAAAAAACATCTATATTCGCGAAGATATTAATGGGGGTGGTGGTGGGATGGGGACTTATGCAAATGATGAGGTCAGAATTGAGAGTTCATAAAAGTCCTTTCTCTCTTTCTCTCCGTGTGCGGTATAAAAAAAGACGAAAGATGAGAATAAATTTATTATCTTGCCATATCACCCACTCGTTCTGTTAAGGATTTGAGAAATAATACGGGAGGAAGCAGAGCCACCAAGAGATAGCGCGAGGAAACACTGTCTCGAATTATTGCACTCGACGAGACAGGAAGTTGAAGAAACGCGACAAGGACTTTTGTCTACAGCAACATCCTCTCGAAAATCCAACTCTCGCCTATTCAATCAAGCCCACTCAATATGCACAAATGTTTTTTTTCGGAATAGAGGGCGAAAGGTCGATGTACATAATTCACAAGGATTTTTCTCTCGCACAAACTGGACATTTGATGCCTTATCCACTGGAATTGTTTCCGCTCATCTATTGTAGCATCGAAACCCTTTAACCTACATTCACGAATGTAAATTTTTCAATGAATTCATCCCTTCTGTCGTCGATGTCACCCCCATTTGATTGAAAGAGCTGGCATGTGGATGAAGAGCGTGAGAGGCGAGGAAAATTGTAGTGAAAAAAATTATAAAACTCGCGATGCTGCTAATCATCTACTTTGCTCTTCATCCTCCTATATTCTGTCCGCCTATGTAGTCACTGAAGAGGGTTCTAGTGAAGTGAACGGGCGAGGGTTAAAGCTATATCGAAAAGGATGTTTTTTACGTTGTCATTCGCTCTTTTTTCAATACTGTAAATAACTAAAGTTTTGCGTTTTTACATTTTGTCAAAATTGAGCACGAAAATGAGATATTTCGTAACATCTCGCAGTTGATTCCCTTGCAGTGTCCAGTCTCTCTGCATCCAAAGGGCACGAAGGATATCTATAGTGGGAGGATTATGCAGTTCTTTACCCTTTTCGTCAGATGGCGAGGGCCGAGAACAAAAGATTTTGTCAGGATGTCGAGATCTGCATTCGCTCTTTTGAACATTTAACCTTTTGGAAAAAAACATGGATAAAAACGATGCAGGACTGCGGAATTGAGACAGAGAGAGAAGGAGAGGACTCATTATCCGCAATTGGCGAGCGCAAAAGAGAAAGAGATCAACAATTGCATGAATTTGACGAATTTAAATTCCATTCTTTCCATTCTCTCCAGCCATCATCCACGGATGCAGAAGTGAAAATAGCACACGATAGGGGTTTAAGTTCTCTTTGGGCTCTTTTTGCGCGCCCTGTCAGTCCACCCTCCCCCAGACGCTCACCCTCATGTGGAAACCCCCGTGGATGAGTTCCTATTGTTTTGCAGAGCGCGCCCAGGAGTGTCTCAGTCGCTCGTTTAATCGTTTTTCTGTGTTTGCTGGCTCTACATAATAAGACCGAAGAGATTCCTGGCTTCGATAGCGCCGGACATCTGCGGTTGAATTGTTTTTTACATCTCTCTCCACGTCTTTCTTTTTTCCACACTCTATGTGCCTGTAATTTAAATAGCAGACGTTCTTGATGTGCATCTCTTTGACTGCACCAAAGCATCTCTTAATTTCAAAGACTCCTCCAAATCTCACAGAATCTTTGCTCTAATCGTGAGTGCGATGATAGAGCTTCAAAAGGAATAGAATATACATTACTCTGCCAGGACAGACTGATGCCCATCCAGCTTCACATCTTTCAACCTCTGGCAAACTCACAGAAAAATGCCCAACTGGGTCACATTGAAATGCGATGCAAGAGGGGAAAATCATCCCAGAAAATTAATTACAATTATAAAATCAATGTCCACTGCTTATACCCCAACTATCCCATTTGCCACTGGTGTCAAAGGGTGCGGCATGAATATTTAATTAAATGTAATTGATATGTCCAGAGGGGGAGAGGTAATGCGTCCGTTGCGAAATATGGCGCAAAAGTTGATAGAGAAAAATCCCTCCAGCATCCGAGAGGGATGCTGCGCCTCTTGCATTTTTGATTGACAGACTTTTTCAGAGGGTCACACAGCACTCACCAGTGTTCATTGTGTTGGATTCTGCATCTGCAACTTGAGTCCTCAGCTTCTTGGCGGGATGTTTGCTGTCCACAAGAGGACTCTCCTCACCGTGGCTGGAACTCGTGTCCATTCGCTCCTGCTTAATCTCCATCTCCTCCGCCTTGTTGAGCTCATCCATGCTGCTGGAACCCAGAGGACTGTTGATGGCTCTCCGGATTGGGGTCGACGGGTCATTGTCTGAAAAAGTCAATTATCCAATCACATAAGTGCACACTTATTCTAAACTTTTCGGTCGTTCTTCAAACGGAAACTTAAAGTATTTTGTCTCAATCTTCAGCACCGGAAGTTGTGAAAAAAGGCAACAATTATTTAGAGCCGGTGTAAACAAAATTGAAAACTACCTCTCTTGATTCACACAATTAACTCTTGACTTGAAATGCCGAGACTCACCGTCTGAGAGTCTCTTTGGTGTACTCGATGATCCTCCATCGCCGAGGAGTAGAAGTTCGGCTGGACTTGAGAGTGGCGGTGAGTGAACGCGCGATCCTGAGGGTTTTCGTGCTGAAATGGGCGCCGATATGGAAGGTCGTCGGGTGTTCACTAGGCTCAGAGGTCTCCCATCGTCTGCATCTCTGTCACCTGGCGCCCCGCCTGCCAAATCAATTATTTTCAGTGCAAAGAGCCCATCCCAGAGGCGCTACAATGACTTACCTTGACTAAAACACTGTCCATAGTTTTCTTTATTGCATTGATTGACTTTGTGTTGGATGAAACGAACAATATCCGATAGAGCGAACGTCTTCTGACACGATCCACACGTCAGAATGTCCTGAAGACTCCCCTCAGGTGTGTCTGCTGATGTATCGGAGTCTGAGGGGTGGGTCAGCAATCCAATAAGGCCACCGAGAAAGAGAGCACAGAAGACAAATATAAGATAATTAAATTACTGAATTATAACCATGGGTGAGAAGCAAGGTGGAACATTGATATTAATTCTATTGGATTCTTGCCACCGCCACACATCAAATGGCTCTGACGGCCACTGGGAATGACCTCGAGGTCATCGGGAGGCGCCACACCATCTTGGCATTTTCATCGACTCGGGTGATCCACCTCGGGAGAAAAACCATTTGCACCGAGATACATTAAATATCTTCTTTGGCCGTTAGTGTCAAGAACTCTCGAATGTCTTCGCCACTCACACTTTCCCCGGGAAACTCCGCACTCCTTCTAGCCTCTGTCGTATTCGCCACGATGAAGAGGTAGAAGGAGGTAATAAAATCTCGCACTTGGATTTATTTGTCATCCACCTCAAACCCTCAATTGATCCTACTCTCAGTCCTTGCTCTTGCCCTGTTCGTCAAATTCACAGGCGAGCCTCGAATACCGAGGAAACCGAGGAAAAATACGTATTTTCAACTTTCACTTATGTAGAAAAAAAGGGAATAATTTTACACATTTTACGTGAAGTAATCTTGACAGCTAATCAGGAATGTTTCCGCGAAAATTGCGTTTCAACTGTATTCTTAGGATATTTGTTTATTTCCTCCTTGGAAATTCTCTGTCACCAATTTGTGTGGTGAACGTAATTCTTGGGCTGTCTGTTGATTGCTTCTTCAAGTATTAGGAAGAATAAATGTAGATTATTTTGGCTGGAAAGTTAATCAGAGAATATTTTATGAAAGTGAAGGCAAAGATAAGGAAATTGGTGAAATTTTCTCTCTCTTCCATTTGTCACAATTAGATTCACTTGGTTATGGGTGGGATGCTCTTAAGTTGGGAATCTTCTAGGACTGCTTATAATGAGCCATTGGGTCATAAATACACTTGTCTGTCGATCACATTTTCGTGCGAAGAGAAATTAAGTGCAGATTCTTGGTGATTCCCCGCGTGATAGCGCCCTCGTCTCATCTGACCGAGCAATATTAATATGGAAATTGAGTGGAGGAAGTGATTTTTCTGGGTGAAAGTTGTGCGTAATCAGACGAGGGTGAAAGTGGGAGAGGAGATAAAATGAGGAAAATAAATAATAAGGACTGTTATTTCCATTCTCGAGGAGAGGCACACCAAGGCAAGAGATATGGAGAGACAGATCGGTCTGGAGATGTGTGGATTGCTTGTAATACGCTGGAAAAGGGATTAGTTTCGCCTTTTGTTTATGAACTCCCTCGAAAAGTTTTCTTCCAGCTTCTTGTACTTCTTCTTCCATCCACCAAAAGACCAAAGTTTTAGTCTTCACACACACACACACACACCAATGGGGTTAGAGAAAACGAAGAACAAATTGGTTCTCCTCCGCCTCACAACTCGCACAATTTTCGGATACGCTTCAAGGGATGAAACCCACTAAACAATATTCACTTCAACTTGGTCTCCTTTTCAGGGATCTGCGCCCAGTACGAGTGGGTGGGATGGTCTCAGCTAAATAGGCCAAGGGATGAAGACTGTGCGAAGAAAGTTTCACAGCGCGGATATTCCCACTAACATCGCATTTACACCGGAGAGCACCTGGCTGGGCGTCGTGAGAGGGGGTTGAGGGCGACCACTTGGGAGCCAAGGGATCTGCCCGCCCACCCCGTTTCCTCCTTCAATCCGCAAAACTTTCGTTATCTGCAAATTGACCCAAGAATTTTGTCCATTGCCTCAGGGATTTTTGGCTTTGCCACCCCCCACCCTTGTGTGAGGGTTGAGACAGCCAAACAACAAGATAAACAAAAGGATACAGAGTCGAAGGCGAGTGTGAGACTGGGAATTTGTCAACGAATTCAATTCGCGAACTTTTCCAATAGGAATTCCACCATCTCCTCGAGGAGCTTCCCTATTCACCCCCACGCGCCCGTCTTGGGTGGCAATATCGGGTGTATTCCCAATTGTGACCACCACCCCTCGTCGCCAATCACACCAAGTGTACTCCCAATCCCGGGAGAGTGGGCTTTTATTAAATTACAGGAAATTCTTCATCAGCCAATATGGCAATATGTGCTAAGCTCTTCGGGGTGATTTTGTTAATCCCAGGGAATTTTGATCAACACCCTCTCCCTTGCGTTCTCATGTCCACAATTCACCAAAGCATTAAATATTATTTGCCACACTATATGCATGCGTCAGCGTGAAAATTTTGATGCTCCATCGAAAATATTTCGCATTATTGCAATGCACATTTTCACTCACGACTTCAAAGAGTCGAACCCTAACTGAAAAAAGGCGACGCTTTGTGTGTCCAATATTTTGCCGAGAGAGAAACAAAGTGGAAATATTTCCAACGGACAAATGCATCGTGGCTATATAGAGCCTTTTTGTACCCATTGCCGCACTGCAATGTGTCCACGAATGGGGCAAAAATTAATCAATTTTGAGGGGTTGGCGAAATCCAATGAGCACTCATGGCAGGGGAGGAAAACGGCAAAAGATCGACGAGAGAGCGAGAGCAGTGAAATCCCTTCTGGACCATTGTTTAGAAACTTTCGGTACTCCCATCTCACTCGGGAGACCACCTCTGGTAGAGCAAGGAGAAAATCTTGCGAAAAGGACTCTCGGGGCGTTTCCTTTCACCAACACTTATGCATCCGCCAGCGCGCATGTGCTGACCATTGGTCAGTCTGGGCTTGTACTGCACAAATGGGGTGTCCGGCTTCACCCCATTCCGTTGCCATTCGTCCCATCGCGCACACCCTTTTGGGTGAGTGTAAAAATTTGGCAATGGATTTTATTTCGCAATTTTAAAAGCAAATCCCTGTTATTGAGGTCAAACATTCAAAATGTCAATTAATACTCCATATATAGTGAGATGATTTAAAAGTAATCATGAAAGTGTCACAGAAAAAGCAATATAATTTGCGATGTAAAAGTAGATAAATTAAATAACACAAAATGTATCATGCTGTCTAGCTCTGGAAAAGTGTATTATCATTGAATGCTATTTTATTCCATTTTTGCAGCTTCAGCAGCACTCTGAGGTAATTAGCTGTGACTCACAGACGTCCCGACAACTTCTATAATTAAGCAGAGAAGTGACAAAAGTTTACCAATAAAAATGGGAAATAAAAGTTACTATGCACAACCAATTGTTCTATTTAAAAATAATATAAATTAAAATTGGTATAATCTGTTGTGGTACAAAATTTTTCATGCAAAATCCACCAAATTCTGTTTGTTGTTGGAATTTCGTGAGGGTGTGAGTCCCCTTGGAAACCCTCCTCTCTTAATGCAGCAATTTGATCATTGTGGTCACACAGCTAATTTCTCCGGAGCGACATTTGCAAAAATGTCCCATTCACGGTCCTGCCACAACCCCTCTTGGCCAAAATTCTCCATCGCCAAAAATGATTGAGAGGGTGGTTTTCACAATGATCACCCCTTGGACAGTGATAATCAAACTTTTTCTCTCTGTCCAGCCAGCAAATTCACACAATTTCATTCTGCAGATGTGAAGTGCTGCAGATGGATCGGTGGAAAAGTATTTAGGGCACTTCTTTGTCCCTGAGTGAAGTTTTTCATTGCTCAATATAGGAAAAATGTTGCTCAGCGGTTAAAATCAAAGAGTGACCCAAGTGAGAACGAAGGGATGTTTTGAGAACCCTTCAAAAATTACTCTAAAACGCCTCACATGTACACTATTTATGTACACCAAGGAATTCTGATTTCTTTATATCCGTGGAAATATATGCTTTTCCCCATTCGGTAAGCTATTTGAGGACAATTCTCTCACCACTAACGATCTGGGCACAGCCAAAAACTCCTTCAGGCCATAAATGACAAAGTATCAATTGAAGCTCCCCCCGACCAGCCGAAATCACATATGAGAAAATTCATGAATATTGCACGGATGGTGGAAAAATGTGACAAGTTGTTGTTTCCTCGCTAGAAATTGGGTACGGAAAATTGATGGAAAATTGCTGCCGCAGAGCAATTTTCCTCTCCCAAAGTATGGAACCACAGAGGCCCTCGATAAATTGTTACATCAATTCGATACACAACGGCAGAAATGATCCTAATCAACAAATCACAGGGTTGATGAAATGAGATGAGAAAAAATATTGGCCGAAAAATATCCACGCGCGGAATATGTCATGTAATGGTTGAATTTTTTCCCCTCGAAGGGACATCATTTATTCCTAAATATTGCCAAGTAATAGCAATTTGGCACAATTTGGCCCACACTCTGTGATATCCCTGAGAAAATTCGATGGAAATTGCAGGTTTGCCAATACTGAGAATGGAGTGAAGCTTTCTTACGAGAACATATTTTAAGTGATTTTTAACTATTTTCAAATTCAATGAACAATTTTTTCATGTCTATCCAAAATATCTATGCCAAATTCTCGACCAAAAACCCATCCTTTGATAGCACGGTATCAAAGAGGGTTGCACGAGATAAATAGCAGAGGGTGGGAAATTTATCACATCACGCAGTCAATCAGTCACTGCGAGTAAGTGGGAAAAAGTCAGGAAGAGAAATTCACAGGGGAAACTCGACTTCAATTGATTCTTCATATTAGGAAAAGCCGCATCACTTTGGCCACGGAATTTCTACATTGCGAAATATTTCTTATCCGGTTCACGTCATGCAATTTATGGGAGGGTTTATGGTCAATGTTTCTAGAAGAGATGGTGTGACTAATTAGTCAAATAGTGCAGTGACGTGGCAATATGGTGGGCAAATTAATTCGCTCCTCGCATCGGTAGACAATTCTTCTTGGGAGATAAGAAAGATGGCCTGAAAAGAGACCTTTTCGTGGCTGTTTCGGCGTCATTGTATGAGGTGGCAAATATATTTGGACAATTGCTGTTGACGACGTGAATTTTGTGTTTGCTCACTGATGTACATACATGGATGAATAAATTTCTATCCAATAGTCGCTCATTGCCCG